AGAAACAGGAGGGTTTACTGGAGGTTTATCAAGCTCAGATGGAGGAAAGAATTTTCATGGTGTACTGGGAGTGCATGTTTTTGTTGCTATTGACACAAGACTTACCTCTGCATGGGTGCAGATAAGAACCATGCCTGTGAATAGTTTTGGGAGTGGACAGAGCAGATGAGGAAAAAATGTGAATTAGCTTAAAACTGGAATTCCAGTTGTAAGATGCTGTACTTGTACTCAAACATTTTCCAGGGGAAATGTACATTCTCACTTAACTATTGCTTCACACTTTTAATAATAATAATAACAATAAGGTGTTGCATTAGCATAATTTCAAAGATGCTATAAACATCTAAATATTATATCACTTACTGTACTTTTTCATAGTTATTGTTAAGGTCTTGTCTTTGTCTACACTTTAATACCAGACTTTTCATTGAGAATTTAAATAAATTACTGCTTTTTTTACTTAAAGCTGCATTAACTGATTTGTGTTTGTTTGTTTGTTTATGGCACTGCTTTAATCTCTATCAACTTAGGAAGAAAATTATGTTAACCAGCTAGCTGTTAACTCTTTTCTGCCTGCTGTTTGGTGCCTGGCAAGTAATGCACAAGCAGTGTATCACAGCTTTTTTTTTTTTACCAAAAATATCTGCCTGCTGCAGGAAACAATGAGACATAAGTGTGGAGTTCAACTGTACAGAAAGCTAAAAGTTCAGCTTTAAAAGCATGATTTAGACTTTATTTTTTATTTATTTATTTATGTGCAGTGCATTAGTGCAAGAGGCTCTTCTTGTGTTAGTTTGTGCCTATATGATGTCTCTGATCTGTGATGGATGTGTCTGGACAGACGGACCTCAAAGTCGTTAATTGAAAATTGAGACAGTGTTGAGAAGATGTTATTGATTTTCACACTCTCAGCTAGTAGTACACAGTGGTGTGTGCCATTGTAAGATATGAATGAAAAGGGAATGACACTGAGTTCAAAGGAAGACAGAGAAAATGGGATGAGGAGGAGAATGAACAGAGTAGGCAGAAGGATAAGAGAAGGGGATCATGAGGTTGGGGTAAGCAGTAAAATGGATGAGAAAGATGGACATTATTTGGCCTTTAAATCGTTGGGAAAGAGCCGCCATCCTCTGTGGCTTCATGTGTATTACGGGCATAGAGCTAAGGGAACACCCCTTTCAACCTGTGTCTTTTCTTCACAGCATCGATCAGCCGGTCCCCAGGCTGTTTACAAGTCGACATAAACCTACAAACCCTGTGACCACGGCTCAAGTAATCAATAGAATCATGGAATCATGTTTACTCTTGTGTTTCATGGCTGTTGAAATGTCACAGATGGAGGTACATCTTTCACCTGCTTTCTCTCTCTTGCCATTCTCTTTTTCAAGGAAATACACAAACATACAGACACAAAGACAAACAGTACTGTAGGTAGGTACTGTGTCTGGTGAATACATAAAGCACAAATTAAGCACATATGATCAATACCTTGCCTCTTCCTAATTATTGTACATACCACATACAGTAGTTTCATCTTTCTCAACAGCACCACCCACTGTGTTGAGCAGCCACTGAGTGCTTGTGGAACAATAACTATGTGGTTTGCTTCAGCATGAGGTGATGCAAACATTTTATGCAAAATTGTTTGTCTGAATAGTAGAGGTGTTGATCACTCTAAATGGGAACTCCATGTTCAGTTCAACAGAACACAGAACAGTATAGGTACAAAAATATCTTGCTACTAAGACATCATTGCTTTTTATGAGCAATTACAACAGAGAATATAATTTATTTAAATGGCTCTCTGCATGAAGCATGGCATTGCCTGCAAATGAGCCAGGCCCAGCTGTGATACCTGATAACGAGTTGAATTAAATGGTCAAACCTTCTATTCTAGCACAGCACATACTCATTTATGGTGATATTGGTGGCAGGTATCACTCAAAATTCATAGTCATTTTTACAAAGAGATGTAAAAATGCACATTTTCTTTTTTCTAGCCAGCAATTTTCAGTTTTGCAAGCTGGAATCAAAGTCTCTAGCACATTTTGTCAGCTCTAATCATAAATAGTATATAGAGTGGATGAAGTGAGGCATGACATCACCCACTGGTTTGCACTGCAGCTAGTTTGAAGCCCAGCTTTGTGTCTGGACTGGACCAGCTAAAAAAGAGCCAGATAAAGTTTCATTCACATATTGTTTCCCCTCAAGTGACTCCTCAAGTGTCAACAAACTACATCAGATTTTTTTACATCAGGTCTGACCACTTTCATCCATGGTCCTAGAGCCGATTCATATCTGATCTCTGGGTGGTCAACTGCTGCCAGACTGGGATTTGTTTGTGTGTGTTTTATTTAATTTTTTATACCATCTCATTCTGCACGTTTATGGCCTGTCATTGTTATTCAATGTTGGTAGTTCATAGACCAGTAAAAACAAACAGGAGGAGAGTGACAGGAGCCAGTGGAGAGACAAGGATGTTTTGAACTTGTGGGAGAACTTTTCCCTGGGGCCGGACAGGGTTCAGTTCTCTATCTGCTGTCAAAAATAACTCAAAGTCTAAACAGCCTGTTGCATAGTATAAGATTTAGTGAGGAAAAAAAATCAAAAACACCCAAATAGCATCTGTTTCTTGTCCATGGAGCCGAATGACTACAGAGCTTGAGACATCCTTTTTTATACCCTCTATGAGCCTTTCCTTGCCCAGGGCTTGCTTCATCCCACCTTTTTCTCTGACCTACTTAGGGATATACTATTATTTCATTGGTCAATCTAGGTTTTTCCGAAAATTAAAATGACCTTAAGTGAAAAATGCAAGTCATACTGACTCCTTCAGGTTCAAGGCTAGGTTACATGATTGACATCCCTCATTTCATAACTCATAAAAAAAAAACTCTTTACATAACTTCACAGCTAAGGGCTATGCTGGTGAAACCTGTTGCCTGCTGCCTGAGTCGGCCATCATCGTGGCTACATGGGGCCATCATCCTTGCTCAGTCTGGGCAGCCATCCAAGCAACAGATTGATAACCTTTTTCTCTTTCTTGCCTGCTTTAAGGCTACCAAGTCACTTTACATTCAGCTTTCTCATCTCAGCCTGTACACATCAATGTTAGGTAAATATAATGAAATATAGTCAATTAAAGCAAATAAAGCATACATTTTCCACAAATTTGTTGGAGGTTAATGGAAAAGCTTTTGATCAAGGAAAACTGAACAGAACATATTTGACTGTTGAACAAATGATGTTGTTATGCTTGTACAGATTTCAGTTAAATCAACACATGCCCTAAAACAATATAAGCATGCCTATCAGTCCTCTTACAGTAATTGTTGTACACCTTGTATGCGTTTGATCATGGAGCACATAGTACACACAACTGCCAGTGTATGAGTAAGCACCAATTGGTAGAAGTTGTTTACTGTAATGCACTCTGACAGGTAAACTTCAAACACAGGCTCCCACACTCTGAGATGAAGCTTCCCAGTGTCTACTGCTCAGGGGAACATTCCTCCAAGTTACTATAGCTGATTATTAATGTGGGAAGACACTGTTCAATTGTTCCAGCTGACATGACTTGCGCTTGTCTTGACCTGATTCTGAACAGATACCGCCGCAGGTTAATAAATACCTGGAGGGGCAACTTCTTTTTCTGGGAAATGTCACTGCGCCCTGACATTACATTTGGGCCCTGCAAAGATATTAAACCTCTTAAAGTGTGGGTTCATTTACATGGCATAAAAACATTTTTGCTATCTCTAGTGTTATTTAGCTGTGGAGACAGTTCAGCGTTGTCACTTTCTGAGATTTCTGCCTCCATTAAAATGCCATAGAGATAAATGAAGTGTTGTGTAGTTTTTCCATTTGAATTCATCTCTTTTGTATTGGGGTGGAGACATAAGTCTAATGAAGGTGTCCAAAACCTGAACAAATGAAGCCAAAACTATCTAGCATGATTAGTTACCACTACACGTAGCTTCTGTGCTGCTGTGCTCCATCATGCTGATCTGCCTCTCACGCTGTTGTTAAGTGTTGTCTATGACCATTTTAATGGATAAAAAAAACAGCTGCATACTGATTTCAAGCCAGAAAATTAATTCAAAAATATTTAAAAAGACAACACCTCTTTTATTATGACTGACTATGAGTATTTATTATTTTTGATGTGTGCTAAAATTATATGAACATGCCAGTGGTGGTATGAACTGTATATTTACTTGATATTATCTTATATTTATCATACTTTTGTGGTACAGTTAATGCTAACTGCACACTTATCTTCCACTACACATGACAGGAAATAACCGTATTTCAGCTCCACCTTATTTATGCAAGAACTTTGGTTATAAGTATGCGATGATGCAGCAGAACCAGAGATATCATCTTCTTATTCCAGACACTCTTTTCCCTTCTAAAAACCTGACAATTCCCTCACCCACAATGCAACTTGGCCATCAACAGTTAAGTCAGAAATGTGGGTTATTCTTGTAGCCTCAAAGAGAGATGAAGAGTGAGCTACAGGTGTGGTACATCACTTGCCCAGATTTGAGACCCAACCAACTCCTGATTGTCAGATTTATCATATTTTCAGCAGTTCCCTCTGGTGCCATAAAGACAGTAACATCACTAAAATGCTGCAAGTAAAATGTAAACAGAACACGGATATGGGTTGTTATGCATAATAAAGGGAATTGAATACTTGTTCCCTCACTTCACTGGGTATATGGACCATCACTGTTACATCTCAATTTTACATGCAGACGCTCACATAAACACACACAGTCATGTCTTTCTATAGCTGTGAGGACCTTAACCCTAAAACAAGTTGTCACTCTAAAATTTAATGATTTATGTTTTGGAAACTTCCTTTTTGTCCCCAAAAGGACATCAGTCTCCACAATGTGATTTGGTAAACAGATTTATGTCCAAACAACATGAGTAATACCAGCCCACACAGACACACATTCTGGTTTTTATCCCCTACTGTGTCCCTACATGGAATTAGATCTATTTTTGGGACTCCATAACCACTACTTGCCAATCCTAACCCTTACCCTAGATTTAATCAAAGCTGACAATTGCTCTAATTTACAGTGTTGTTTTCATAAAATTCAATGAACTACATTATAGGGACCAGCCACCGTGTCTGGTGCTCCCCAGTTAGTGTGCTCCCAGTTTTACATCTTCACAGGAATAGAAAAACAAGGCCACACACACACACACACACACACAAACAAAGATCTACACACAATGTGCTTTATTGCTGTATAGGTACAGTACTTATAAAACATTGGGAATATAATATTTATGAAATAGCACATAGTCTTTTTTTCTTTCCCCAAACACATATGTATGCAGGTTAAAATATACTGTATGTCATGTACAAAAAACAAAAAACAAAAAAGACTACAAAAAAAATAACCCATTGAAAGGCAGTGAGATACACCTGTTTACTGTAGATGCTAAAATACTGTGTCTCTCTGGAAAACTTTACATACACTAGGACTGGGAGATCAGAATGACCATTCTGCACTGGCTGTAGCACCAGAGAGAGCTGATCTCAGAGCAGAGGATTTATAGATTCCTGACTAACAAAGATGAGTGGCAGCTTTAGGACTGCCAGAGTTTAGTACGCTTACGACAGACTGAGCTTAATCATCAGGGATGGTGTACAATGCAGCTGATATGTGTGTGGGCCATGTAGATGGATGATGAGTGTTTAGATGAGACAGTGTAGTGATTCACAGTGCAGCAGGAAGCAATTCTTCACATTAGACAGCTTTTTTTCCCAGCATGAGCACACTGTTTGGGGGGGTTGTCAGGCCCAACATGTGGTCATGCAATTAAGAAACACTGATATGCTTTTAAAGATAATTTTAAAAAAATCTCTTTTCATGATTTTAGTAAACATGGCTATACATAAACCCATGACATGTAACTAATCAGAACCCCGATCACAGTGAAGGACAAAATGCAAAGCCTATAAATTCTTTCTCGCTGTACGGTAAAGTTGACTAGCTTTATCGTGGTTCCTGTTAACATGGTTGGTTGGTTTTGTTTGATCACATATGGGTTTAAATCCTGGTGTGAATAAGCTGATGAAAATGTCTGATGTAGTTCTGCAGAGCAGTACCATTCATGCAACCCCAATCACAGCACACATGGTGTACCTTAATAGTACCTTAATGTTAATAACTTGCTTTTAAAAAATGAACTGCATACTTGAAGACAGTAATCACGTTAAGTAGCCACTCTTCAGATAGAGGTGCAGTAATAAGATACACAGAGTTTCACTGATATGCACAGGCAGTGAAATAAAAATGTGCCAGTTAGTCAAAAATGCAGCTCAGCTGATTCGCCATCTCTGTCGTGAATAATTCCTCTTGCATATTTGTGCATGCACCGACAGCAGCTGAGATTGATCCTGTGATGGTGCTGCTAATTCGCCTGAGGCTGAATCAATCATTGGACACATTGTGGGTGATCAGTGGGAATGAGAATTCAATTAGGGCTATTGATACTTTGCAGCTCTTACAAATCAGACCAATCTTCAGAGATCAAAGAGCTTGTCGAGACACACCCAGCCCATTACAAAAGTCAACACAATACCACATAAACATTGTGCGTACATGATGAAAACATTTGCCTTGCATCATGGTAACACAACAACAGTGTCAAGAGGAGGAAACCAAATAATATTAAATAGAGTATAAAGAGTTTCATTGCCATAGACAATCATTCTGAAGAAAAAAAAACAGATATTCACATTTTAAAATAAACCTATTCTCTTTACCGTAGTCATTGCATCTAACCCGAGACATTCTTAAATCTCAGTTTCACCATCATAGACAGTATTATCTCATCTCTTCCTCCTCTTTCAACTCGATCTCTGTGCTTCTCTGCTATAGTAAAAACTAAAACATATGACAATGGTTACTATTTACATAGCAGTTATCATGGAAACACCCGTAGAGCCGGTTCGATCCATTAGGAAGGTGATGATGATGGGTGTGGGGGGTCAGTTTGTTGGGGTCAAGTGTGGACAGGAGATGAAGGAGAGGACAGGGAAGGTAGTTGCGCCATGAAGGTGGAAATCTGTACAGCAGTCGAGTTCATCTGTGCATGAGTTCCTGAGCTCAGCACAGTCTCCTGAACAACACCGAACATATAAAAGTCTTCAGGTCGATGAGACACAATGAGAGCTAAATCGTTACTTTTCAGATGTAGACTACTGTTCTCTTTTTTCCTCTATTCTATTTAGAAACAGTCCATGGATTGATTTGGTCATTTGTCAGTCTGTATGTATATGAGTACACGGGGACTACTGCGCACATCAGTTAGTTTTGACATATCCTTCACAGGTTGTGTCACTTTGGCACTGAGTTTTATGTTCACAACATGAACTACACCTGTCAGCTAAATTGTTTTTGTTTTAGCTTTACCTTTATCCCTTTAACTAAAGCAGGCTGTTTTAGTTTGATCCTCTTCTCATAGTAAAGGTATGTGCAGTAGTTTGCATTTTGGCCAGAAGGTTTTGTTCCTCAAAGGCTGGTGGTAACAATGGGGAAGAGAAGTGCACCTTGGGATATTACTGAGGTTACCCTGACCCCTGGTCACTTGTTACCAGGGCTGCAGTAGTTCTCAGAGCCTGAACTGTGAGAGGCCAAGTGAGAGCTGTGTACCTGAAAAAGGTCCCAAGTAAAAGTCAGTACAAACTGGAGGTGTCCAAAGGTGGTGACTGACTTATAAACCTCAGAGAAGTCTGAGACTCAGAAGTGCAAACATACAAGCACTCATGGGATCATCACAGGTGGGAACATCACATGACACCACATCAAGTATAATCAGCACCATGTTTTGGGGTGGAGCTCCTTTGTGTGCAGCAGTACATCATGATAGGCGGAGATACAGACAAGGACAGGCTTTTAATACCTGACTACCATGAAAACACTGGTTGCTGTTAAATCCATCAATGGGCATCGTATAGTATATTTTATCTCAGAAGCGGTGAGATAAATAATAAGGTAATCCTCATTATTTTCTTTTTTAAATAAATTATGTGATCACACACAAAACAAAAACAAACAAACAAATAAACAAAAAAACTGCAGGTATCTATGAACCTCTGTTGTGTTTGCTTTCTATTAATTTTTTATGTTTGACATTGTCAGTGTCACACAGTGGCGTGCTTTTATCATGTATGTTGGGTCATCCTCCACAGCTGAGGTTAAAGGCAGAGAGGCAGGACCTTCAGCCCAGGGACCAGACTCATACTCTGGGGCTTGGAGCTTCAGCCTAGCCCCTGGGCACAAAGATACTTAGTCCACAAAAAAACAGAAAGAGCATGTGCGAGGGTGGTTGAAGCGAGAGAGGGAGAGGGAGGAACATCCTAACCAAAACGCGACAGCATCACTCAGCCTCTGTCATGGAGAGGCCTTCCTGTTGGTCCAGAGCAGCGTGGGGGGCAGGGGTGGGGACTGAGTTGGACGGTGGTTCCACTCACCCCGCCCCTCACACCGCGTTCGCCGCCACCGTAGGAGCTCCCCCAGGGCAGCGCTCTCATCCCTGTTGGACAGACGTAGCCTCTGGAACACCTGGAGCAGAGATGGAGGAAGAGGAGAGGG